AGGGAGAGACATGCAGCACTCGACGAAAATATTTATAAAAAAATATGTATATTGGGATGTTGCTCCGTGTTGTCTAGTAGAAGTTTCCGTCGTTTCGAACAGTCTTACTGACAGCATCATCTCAGCGAATGCCTCCAACACCAAAGAAATGATGGAGGGGTGGGCAGTAAGCGCGTCTGAAACGTCGGAAATCTTCCTATAGTCTACCCGGCAAAATATCCTAGAAGACAGCCATGTTTATATTCGCTGCTGTGAGAATTTGAAATTTTAGGATGTGTAAAAATTTTGCGAATAAGGTAAAAGGTCATCTGACATATCTAGACGTAGATGGAAGAATGAAACTAAAACGGATCTAAAAGAAACAGGATGTGATAATATGGACTATATTTATCTGGTGTCAGTTAAGGATCAGTGACGAAAAGGATTCAACAACGGACAAGGAACTTATTAGTGTTAGATTTTTCTTTTGCACAGGTGTCTCCAGAGCCGGGATAGCTCAGTCAGTATAGTGACTACCTACTGGCTGGATGAAACTGGGTTTCGATCCCAGAGGATTTTTCCTCTAGCCTCTGCATCCATACCTGTTCTGGGTCCCAACCAGCCTCCTGTCCAATGGGTACCGGGGTCCTTTCCCGGGAGTAAAACGCGGTCAGGGCGTGATGCTGACCACTCACATCCATCTAGTGCCGATGTCAAGCAAGAATAGGAACTATACCTCCATTCCCCCCAAACGACCTACATGGCATGTAGCGAGACGGCTTTATTTTACTTTCATTTTACAGGTGTCTCCAAGGATCATGGCTGCGAAGAGACGAAACATTGAGCTTATATTACTCTCTCTCTCTCTCTCTCTATATATATATATATATATAAGTTAAATGTAGCAGAAGAAGATTACGTAAAATTCCATCCGGCTACAACACTTCCTGTGCAAACTGAGTAATTCTACGAGATGGGAAGAGAGATACAGTTTTATTCACGACGTCTAGAAGGGAGAAGATCAACACGATAACGCAGAGAGGTCACACAAGGTCAACGTTCCCGGAAGTTACATCGCTACCCCCTGCCTTGTGGAAACGGCGTGTTTACAGCCGTCGTGGAGGCGGTAATCACACAGACCCACCCTCACATCAGCAGCTCCAATACAGGACAGACCACAAGTAACTTAATCCATCTGACATCCGCTGCTGCAGTTCGGACTATAGCCAGATATCCGCTACTGTGCGCAGCATAAACCAGACGTCCAGTGGGCGCAAAACAACTCCAAGCTTGAGCTACGTCACAGTAGGAGTAGAGAAGATAGAACCGGCAAGAGACAGCATCGAGGTGTATAGAGGCAAGGAGGTAACGTTCCATATAATCCAGGAACTATATACAGATGACTGAGTAACACAATACTCTGACAGTTCTATGGGCAAGGAAAGAGTCAGGGGTATTTACTGGTGAGGAAACTGGTTTGGCTCCAGGGTAGTTCTGAAAAGAGGGAACACATAAACGTCCTAATCCTTGGCAGCAAAGTAGAGATCTAATAGTCCACTGCCCTGTGCCATAATATTATCTTCTCTTACGAAAGAAGTGAGTTACAGGGCATTCTGTCGTTTTGATTACGAAAAAAAATTTTTAACTCTTTTCCCCTCGGTCGACTAATTCCACGAGCAAAGTTTTGTCTTGAGGAAGACAACATTCACTCAGCTAGTCAACAAATTCGCTGCCTTTTATGGAACACGGAGTTCACCGCTGGAAACGATCTTGGGCCACACTCTCCTACCCCGTTTTCGAAACAATTCATTTTAATGTGTTACAGTCTGCGCCTTAGGAGAGCCCCTTCCCTTCAGGCTGTACTAAAATTCCGTACATATTTTTAATCTACGATTATATGCGTGTTACATATTTCGTACACTTTATTTTCCTTCGCGTGATTTCATAAATGTCGAAGCGTACAAATTATGGAGCTCATTATCATGCAGTTTTTTCCAGCTTTATTTATAAATATTTCCCTCGGGATGCTGTTCATGAATATGATAAGATTTCAACTTGTCATTGCGACGAAAATTAAGATGACTCACTCTTCTGGGATTTATTACAACTATACTGGTAAATACTGGCAGACGTTTCAGAGGAGCTTACTGCCATCAACAGCTCCCATCACCTTAATGATGGAGGAAGTAAATATCTCGAAACGTCGGTCAATATGCCTGTAAGCAATTGACTGAAATAAATAGGCTCATGGATTGGGGGGTATGACCTATGGGGTAGGTCAGCATTTTACAACCTGTGCACAACCATAAGGTTTTAGGTGGCCCGCGATTTTATGTAAGAAATCGTATAATTATTCGCATTTATAGTTACAAAAATCAATATCTTATCTTTCTTGATTACATTCACATTACACACACACTCGCTGGTTAACCATCAACAGTTTTAATCAACACGCGTGTTTTGTTTTCATATACCTGCGCAATTATAAGGCGGACATTTAATTTAAATACATATTTATGGTCATATAACCCATTTCGTAAGGTGAAATTTTGCGGTGTGCCGTCAAGTGTCTTAAAAATTAGGATGTGCCGGAGTTAAAGAAAATTATCGGAACAGTGGGGTACGTAACAAAATTGTTACGTGTTTAATTTTCATGGCTTAACTTTGTAACTGACCGAAACTTACGACCATCGCTTGAAAATCAGTGAAACGAGGAAACCGTCTGGCGGACCCACGGCTGGTTCAGTACCATCGTGTCCATATTGAGTGCTTCAAGCCACATGACGTGGAAGGCTGATGGCGGCTTTGACAATTTGTCGGCTTTAGGAGATAGATTATTAACAGGGATTAAGCTGTTTTAGAGCTTCGTAAAATCGATGGAGCCAAGTTAGTGCAGTTTTGTCACATTACCGTTTACATTTTCAAAGTGTCTACAGATCTGATACAACTTGGTGCAAACGTCAGCACACACTTGAACTGTACGATATTAAGGCACCTCCAATGTACATTGGCGTATGCTTTGCCTTAAAAAATGATCACAAGAAGCACTTTCTTGTGTCTTTGTAAATGTGGATAATAATTTTAATCTCTCGCTTGTAAAATAAGCCTCCGGGTCATTCAGCGATAACTGAAATACTTACATGGAATAAGGAAACTTTAAAAAGTGTAATTTACTGGGAAGTTCTGAAAGAAGCTGCTGAAAGTAATGAAGTCTGCTTCCTTCGTTAACTATCCATTTGCATGCAGTTTCTAGTGGAAAACACTAATTAATAATAATGATATATATTAATCATTTATCTCTGTGTGATGTTTATACTTCTACAGACTAGAATTATCGAAAGACTGTCAAACAACCAAGGAGATTAGTGCCGTCGCCATGTTTTTTTATTATTATTTTCAACTTACAAACCATATTTGCTGAAAAATCTGTAAGGAAAACACAAAACTTCTCAAACCTCAGCAAAATGATAAAGAAGCCATTTCAGCTATTGTCGTCCAGTAATACAGTTATTTTTAAGTCTTAATTGCATGTTACGGTATTTAGAACAAAAACCATTCTTCAAAATATTTAAAATGCGAAGTTTTTAGTAAACTTTACATTATTAAAATAAAAATTTATTTTTCTACATTTCCGCACAAACTGATAACAATTAGAAATTAATTTAGCGTAACGAATTTCAAATGACCAACATTAATATAAGCTTCACTGGAGGTAAAATGTATTTGATGAAGCAACAGTGAACCCTGGGGTTAAATCTCATCCAGAATGTTAAAATATGTAAAATGTAATCACATTTTCCATGCACTTTTACTGGCAGTATGACTGGAATACGTAATAACCAAATTCTGTGCAAAGTACACATAAAAATACTGTCGAAATGAGAAAGGTTAGGTTGTGAAACAAATGGGTAGGCAAGATGATGATATTAAAGGGTGTCTTTGGTACTAAGGATATGGAATGGATTCATGTGGCTCTTGGTAGAGTTCAATTCTGGAAACTACGAGAAATCTATCAGGATAACCATTCGAATCCGATGCCTCCTGAAAACGACGCACAAGTGTAACCACTCTGCCACGACATTTGATTGCAGTTGAAATGCAATCAGAATAGATTTAAGTCCTATATATATTTATTTATTTAAAAACACTTCGAAAGGAATACAACACTTCTCGACTATTTTTATCAACTGATTAGTGCCACTTTCGGATATAAAAGCATTTTACGCTAAGCTCATAAAAATGCAACGATACTGAATGTTAAATCAAGTGATATATACCACTGGGCTTTACAGTTTAACCTTCTGACACGGAAGGATAAGAATAGATAAGTAAATCAGTTCCAATGGCCATATCGCTAAGATACTTTGATAGTTGTATATTATCAACACACGGGTTCTGAGAGTTAATCTGTTAACGATATCAAAAAATTTCTCTACTTTAACATAGGTACTATAGTCAACTAACGGCATTTGCCTTCCTCAAGAACACCTCGATATTTATTAGTAGACGGGTCGGACGGCTGAGGGGCGGGTGACAGTTCACATTTTTCCAAATTAATAATCCATAAAATAAGCCATATACCATGCGGCACAAAAAACGTTTTTTTCTAACAATGGTAAAGTTAACATAACTAACTATGTGTACAAACGATTTATTAAGTTCACTTTATTCGTTATATAAACATGCCCCGATGATGGAGGCAGCAGGGACCTCTGAAACGTCGGTAAACTTCTACCTGACTACACGGCGCTGCAACCCAGAAGACAACCATCTTCGGACTCGCCGCCTTGAAAACATGTTTTTTTAAAGTGCTTCGCGCCACTCGGCATAATCGGCACATCTAGGTCAACGTCGTTAAACAAACAAGGTAAAGAAAGAGCCTTCGTTCTCTGACTACCACGCCTGCGTCAACGGCGTATTTTAACTTCTCATTTTACCTTGAAGCCAAGCTGATCAGTGCTGAGGCTGATTTACGGGATAATCGATTAGGTCTCATGGCGCCCAAGTCCGCACTTGCTTACCTTGGTATGTGACTGTAGGAACAAGACCGAAATCTGTCCCGAAGAGAGGATGGGTCACTGTCACGTTCATCAGTCCAGCCCAAAAATTCGTCGCGACGTTCACATCAGCCTGCACGACGCCACCGCACCAAACGTCCGTCTCGTTCCTGGCTTCCTCCTCCTCCTCATAGGACGAAAAGTCAGGATATGACGGTAATGATATTGACTGATCAGGGTCGGAAGTTAAAAGAACCGTTGGATTCTCTTCTGACACAGTGCGATCCCGGTCGTAGTCCGTATCGTCAAGAATACTTCCTTGATGCCAAGTGCTCTTTGTGTAATCGTCTGCGTCAACCAATACAGCCGAGTTCTTCGTTTCCCTTAACAAAGGACTCGTATGGTCATCATCAGAATCACTCGAATAATCTGCAGAACTTGTAATCCTGCCATTTCCATTAAATCTTAAAAATGGAGATGAATATTCACCTTCGCCCAGAGTTGGTCTTGCATATTCTTGCGTAACGTCTTCACGATAATGACCAGAACTTGATTCACCAACGGCACTCTCTTGATGTCTACTGTAACCCCTTGTTACTTCATATTTTTCAGGAAGACTGTCGTTTAATTTCGGAGCCCAAGTTGCCACCGGCCGATGTCTCACAATTGTTCGAGTAGAATCGGATGGGACTGTAAGTCTTTGAAAGTTAGTAGGAGTATTTAACATCAATGGTGGGCCAGGAGATCTCCCTGGAGCTGGATCTCCAGCGTTCTTGCCTCCAGCTCCAGGTACTCCGTGTTGAAGATTCATCCCCGTCGCCTGTGCCACTTGCTGGATCAGAAGCAAACTTATGATGAGCGCTGTACTCGGCACAGATTTGCACATCTTCCAAAGACAACATCTGGTCCTGTTCGACACATGAATGTTACGGCACTGACACTGTAAACAGCTGATCGATGACTGAGTTTCGATGCTCTGAGGTGTGTCTGATACGTTTAGACCACTGGTGCGAATTTTTCTGCGGTTGATGATAAAGTTATTGCTCTCGTTGATAATGGTACGCGTTTCTGCACTCAAGTTCGTATGTCTGACGTCGAAACCCATCATGGTCTTATTTCACTGACGCGGTTTAATATTTCTACACAGTTCGAGAACGAAGTCCGTCATAAACGTACTCTTTTTTATCAAGGGTTTTAGTCCGTAAAGTTTTACATGACACTTCGTAACACTCCGACAAAATGAATCGAAGTTAATTATAACGTAACACAAGTTAAGTCCCAATTCTATTTTGCCTCCGTCTTACTGATCCAATGTTCGTGCGATGATTTTATTTAGTTTCATTATTTTCTGTATAACCGACTTTGTCTCGTATCAAATAATCTAATTTAACTTCAACTTTCTGCATTAAGTTATCAACAGCAAAACAGTTTGTATTGCACTATTAACACACAATAAGGTGCAAATAACATTCAAAAGATGGGTGCGAATGAATTAAATATAAAATGGTATTATGATAAATTAAATTAAAATGTCTGAATACATTTAGATGTTAAAGATGTGTAAACATTAATAACTACTCCTATATCAAGTAGTATGGTATTAATCAGACGCTTACTGCAGTAGAAAAGGGACAACTGTATTTCGTCATAATATTAAATAATCGTTATTTAAAAAAATGTTTTATGTCACACCGCGATTACAACTCAAGTTCACGCATTTTCTGGTAAATCGAATGAAACTGTGCAGTTTCTGACACAAGCCAAAATCATATGTTCTCCACATGCTACAACCTCCATTGAAAACTATCCACTTTTAATATTATCACTCACGTTGACAATGACTAACCACTTATCCATTGTCAAACCAGAACAATTTTCAAAATATATTCAAATAGATATTTTTAAAACGAATAACAAAAACGAGGTTTATTCCCGTCTGATCTACGCAGTTCCTTATAATTGCACTTCTTAGTAACAGTTTATTCAATGAAGCTTCTGGAACGCGCGACGTCGGATGGACGACTAGACGTCCTGCAACTCGGTCGGCGTTCTGCGCCCGACTGTATCGTAGTCTGCACGGAACAGAGCGTCGCTTCTAGACGCGAGGCCTTTCTCTCTCTCTCTCTCTCTGTCTATCTCTCTTCCTCTCTCGCTACTGACCGTACCAAATCAATTCTTCAAACTCCAAAGACAGACGGTTACTTAATAAACAATAATGATCTATGTTGTTCCACTGGACTGTGACGCCATGTAAACCCGTAGTTAGATGCCTACGTTTCAGATAAACATACTGTCTCCATCTTCAGGGCTGCAAATTCTGTGTTTGATAGACTCAGCCTTCACAAATACTCAATTCAAGCAAGACATTGATCTCCATTAATCAGCCTGCTGAAACCAAATATAGTAATTCTGATAATATAAATTAATTAATTTATTAATTATTAATTAATAGTGTCACATATCCATCAACACTTGTCACTGTTGCATTATCCATTATCAGACGCGTTTAGAATTCTGTGACCATAATAACTGTCTTCCATTATAATTTAAGTGAAAATTTTCCACATAACTCGGAGCAAGCCAACAAGTACTCAACGTCTGTGTCACAAACTCATTTATCAGCAGACCTGAAGACGGAGGAGAAAAGTTTCCCCGAAACGTTCACATCTACCTACGAGTCTACAC